TCCCCTAGCGACCGGAAATAGAAATTTCTACTTTTTTTCAATAATTATTGATCTTCAGACTCCAGAGAACATTTCTGCACTGGTTTGGTTCCGATCGGGTAAAAAACCAGGGACTAGTTCGCAAAAGTAGTTTTTCGACAAAATTCAAAATGGCGAAAAATCTATCCAGGCGGAAATGAAATCGGAGATATACGTTTTTTTCGTCAGGTGACCAGCTTTCCAATGATATAAGACACTTGAGTGTACGACTTACGGTTTAGGAGTTATGAACCGTTTCGCGCAATTGGTTGTTATAGCGCCACCTATGGGCCAAATCGGGCTCATAATCTGATAACCTCTCCTTGATTTTTGTACTACCATCTGACAAAGTTTCAGAGCTCCAGCACTTACGGTTTGGTCTGCACGATGTGTTTTACGGCAGAATAATAAAAAGTTTAAAAAAGTCTAATGCTGCTGCTCCATCTAGTGGACAACAGTGCTATTATCATCTACACAAACTCATACTTTAGACATTTTGAAAAGGATCCAAAGTGACTCAATTGTTACTTCAATAGATGATTCATGCTTCATGCTTACACACACACACACACACACACACGTTTGGGATTGTTTATTTGTTATTTGAACTATAAGCATATTCATTCACATATTTATTTGTAATCTTATGATATAAAACTATATTAAAACCAGTGACAACAGTGGAATTACAGCCTTCATATACAATATGTCATATTATTAATATCATTTATCTACAACAGAATGAGAGTGTGTAGATTACACATTTTTTATATTCAGGACCTAATGTGAGTTGTCATATTAATATTTGACTAAATGTGATTGCAAATGTTAAATTAGTGAATTAATAAAGTCATAGTATGAATTATAGTTGAGTAGTGTGACAATGACTATTTTGAACAGCAGAGGGCAGTAAAACACCACTTATTGGCTTAATAGACCATCATATTAATATCATTTTCACCTTTTTAACTGTTATATAGGCATATTTTGTCCGATCTGTCTGAAAATGTTCATGATTATTTAATGTCACGTGTTCTGACTTGTTTATTGAAGAGATCAATGCTTTCAGGGACACTGGGAGTGTAGTAATAGATGGCTTCAACACAGTACATGTGTTGACGTATGTTTTACTGTGTGTACACAGTATGTTTTTTTCATGTTATAGCGCCACCTAGTGTTCAATCGTCATTCAATGTACTTGAATATTTTACATGGCATTTTTACCCCTTTTTTGAATGAGTGTATATTCAAAACTAATTGATGTATTCTGTATAGTTTTAAATTGTTTAATGCAAGTTTTTCACATTGACAAGTTTAAGGTTGACATTTATAATTTTTTGTATTGAATAAAATTATGTAGATTTTTTGTTAATTGTTTTTCTTTTTGTTTATTGCACTTTTGAGATATTTATCTTCTTTCTATTGATTTTTTTTTTTACAAACATAGCCTTCAAATTGGGAGAGTAAGGATAATTTTGATGTGTGGCATTTGAAAATGCTCAAAAGAATGACAGCACAGCATGTAAAAATGCAAAGATATACTCTAGTGAAATTGTTCTATGGCAGGTCATAAAGGGTTAACATAATATTAATTATTATAAATATTATTTCCAACATAATAAATAGATTTGAGCATTTGTTTGTTAGCCAGTGCTGGAAACTGGTTAAAAAAGATTAAAAATAACCAATGCTGTTGCTCTCTCTAGTGGACAACATTGGTTTTACAACCTACATAAACTGTTGAAATGAATGACGGGAAATTTGTTTTTTTTTAACTTATGTCTCGGGAATGATAAAGTGAAAAAATCTGAAACTCAGACCTTAGTGTTCAATGAGCCCTCTTGAACACCCATCCTGGTGTTGCTGAGTAATTGAGCTGGGAGTTGAAAGTTGAAATGCATATCTTTGTGTGCTGCGTTTAGAAGATTCAACATGGATTTCAATGTGATTCTGGTAATATAGTACAGCTATTTACCACGTTAATAGCAATTAGGTGAAAACTCAGAACAACTGAAGTGATAAACTCTGACAAAATATGATAGTGAATGATAAAGTAATAATATGAATTATAGTTGAGTAGTGTAAAAATGACTATTTTGAACAGCAGAGGGCATTAAAACACTACTTATTTGCTTAATAGACCATCATGTTGATTTCATTTTCACCTTTTTAACTGTTATATAGGCATATTTTGTCCAATCTGTCTGAAAATGTTAATGATTATTTAATGGCATGTGTTCTGACTTGTTTTTAACAAGTCTTGTGATCTGAGCATTCATTTTAAGGCTACATGTTGAAGCCATCGATTATAGCCATCCACATGAAGTAGTTCAACTTTTTCTTATAATTATTGATCTAGAGAGTCCAGAGAATTGTACTGCACTGGTTTTAACATTATGATATGATCAGAGATGTACACACACACACCTTTGGGATATTTCTTTGTAATCTAATGTTATAAAACTATGTTAAAAACAGTGACAACAGTGGTAGTTACTCTTATCATTTATCTACAACTGAATGAGTGTGTGTAGATTTTAATTCAATATGACAGTTGTCATAGTACTTTTTGACTAAATGTGATTGTAAATGTTAAATTAGTGAATTGATAAAGTCATAATATAAATTATACATGACAACTTACTATTTTGAACAGCAGGGGGCAGTAAAACTCCACTTATTGGCTTAACAGACCATCATTTTCACCTTTTTAACTGTTCTACAGGCATATTTTGTCCGATCTGTCTGAAAATGTTCATGATTATTTAATGTCACGTGTTCTGACTTGTTTATTGAAGAGATCATCGCTTTCAGGGACACTGAAAGTGTATTAGTAGATGGCTTCAACACAGTACATGTTGAAGCCATCCACAAGAAGCAGTTCAACTTTTTCTTATAATTATTGATCTAGAGAGGCCAGAGAATTGTAATGCACTGGTTTTAACATTATGATATGATCAGAGATGGAAAACACCATTTACAGCCAATACTGGCAATTCACCATATGGAAATACATGGTTTTAAAGCTTTTTAACAGTTATAGCGCCACCTATGGTCCGATCTCCATGAAACTTTGCATGCTTGTTAATGATGTGATGACACATATGCTCATCAATTTTTGGGATGTTCTGAGTTTTCCTTTAGGATTTATAGGCTTTGGGTGCATTTTGTCACGCCTACTTTTGTAAATGACCCTGTTATAGCAAAACAAATGTCAAAGTTCCACTTCTTTTTGATAGTTATTGATCTAGAGAGTCCAGAGAATTGTCCTAGACTGGTCTGGTTCCGATCGAGCAAAAAAACAGGGACTAGTTTGCAAAAGTAGGTTTTTGACATATTCGTGAATATTTAACGAACGATTTGATTGACAGCAATGGTTTTAGAAGCAAAGTTGTTCAGCATGAGGAGATCTATCAATTGATATACATATTGTGAGGGTGTGTGCAAACCACGTGATTACAGAGCCATAAAACTCGTTAGCGCCAACTAGTGGCCAATTTCTTTCAAAATTCTTACAGACCTCTAGGGCCATGAGTCGAACATTCCCAACGAGTTTCGTTCCGATCGGCCTTCGTTAACCTTGTTTGATGGGTGCTCAAAGTTCATTGGCTGATGGCGGCCATGTTTTTTGAGATACACCAATGTCCTCATAAACGTACATGGGGCCTTGGACCAAGACACTGCATACCAATTTTCAAGTCAATCGGACTGACGGTTAGGTGGTTATCTGTTTTTTCCGTTTTATAGCGCCACCTAGTGTTCAATCGTCGTTATTTTTTTACTGTGACCTCAAATTGAACTCATACACATGTGTACCGAGTTTGGTGAAGATATCTCATTTACTTCTTTAGTTATAGCCATTTTAGTAAAATAGGCTCCTCCCACAACGTTTATTTTGCGCCTCCTAGCGACCGGAAATAGAAATTTCCACTTTTTTTCAATGATTATTGATAATCAGACTCCAGAGAACATTTCTGCACTGGTTTGGTTCCGATCGGGCAAAAAACCAGGGACTAGTTCGCAAAAGTAGTTTTTCGACAAAATTCAAAATAGCCGAAAAATTTGCATACCGGAAATGAAATCGGAGATATACGTTTTGTTCGTCAGGTGACCAGCTTTCCAATGATATAAGACACTTGAGTGTACGACTTACAGTTTAGGAGTTATGAGCAGCTTCGCGCAATTGGTCGCTATAGCGCCACCTATGGGCCAATCGGGCTCATAATTTGATAACCTCTCCTCGATTTTTGTACTACCATCTGACAAAGTTTCAGAGCTCTGGCCCTTACGGTTTGGTCTGCACGATGCGTTTTACGGCAGAAGAAAAATAATAATAATAATAATAAAAATCGGTACAATTACAATAGGTTTTCAGCACTTCGTGCTTGAACACCTAAAAATCGGTACAATTACAATAGGTTTTCAGCACTTCGTGCTTGAACACCTAATAATAATTCATTACATTTATATAGCGCATTTCTCGGCACTCAAAGCGCTTTACATAGAGGGGGGAATCTCCTCAACCACCACCAGTGTGCAGCATCCACCTGGATGATGCGACGGCTGCCATAGTGTGCCAGAACGCTCACCACACTCCAGCTTACTGGTGGAGAGGAGACAGTGATGAAGCCAATTGGTATATATGGGGATGATTAGGAGGCCATGATGGACAGAGGCCACTGGGCAAATTTGGCCAGGATGCCGGGGTTACACCCCTACTCTTTCGAAAGACATCCTGGGATTTTTAATGACCACAGAGAGTCAGGACCTCGGTTTAACGTCTCATCCGAAGGACGGTGCTCTTTGACAGTATAGTATCCCCATTACTATACTGGGGCATTAGGATCCACACAGACCACAGGGTGAGCACCCCCTGCTGGCCTCACTAACACCTCTTCCAGCAGCAACCTGGCTTTCTCAGAAGGTCTCCCATCCAGGTACTAACCAGGCTCAGCCCTGCTTAGCTTCAGTGGGCAACCAGTCTTGGGCTACAGGGTGATATGGCTGCTGGCAACACAACACTGCAGGTCCTATGTAGTTTATATTTGAGCTTTCATGCATATTACACATTGGAACGTTGGTGCTGCAGATTTTATAGCTGCTCCTTTGACTAATTTTTTTAATCTTTTCCTTGTTTAAACGAAATTCCAAAAGATCTGGGCTGTTGTTCAAAGGAGGAGCTTTCACAAAAATGGCTAAACTGCATTCTATCAAAGTTTTTGAAACTCTTAAACAAGCATTGGACTTTTTACAATAAACAATTGTTGACTTTTTTGAATGAACAATGTGTAAAGTAAACAAAAGGCAACTTACAATTACCTGCTGGTCGGAGGAGATGGATTCCAGAGCTTTCTGGATCACACGACAACCGTACATCTGTAAAGCCAGCGGCAACACGTGGCCACGGATACGAGTCGCTAGAGCCAGTTTCTGATCTGCACTGCCGAACTACAGCAGGAAAAAAAAAATACAAGAAAGCAGTTATTTTCAAAGACTGAAAGATTTCATTCACGTTACTTCATTTACAGTTTCAGAAGCATAATAACAATTGTTTTTTTGTTTTGTTTTTTAGATTGAGATTATTAGGGCTGACTTCCAATAGTCGAGGATTCGACAATTCAGTTCGGAGGGGTCTGATTTGACTATGAATCGAATCAGTTATGATAGTGTTATGTAACCATTGGTACAGCAGCACCACAGGCCTGTAATGTCCGGACCGCATTTGTTAGCATTTATGGATTTATTGGCTAACAATGGCTTCTAAAAAAATCATCAAAAGTGTGGGAGTATTTCGAGAAGGTTAAAGATGACCCAAAGAAAGTCCAGACATGAGAAAAATATCAGTCTACACATGCGCTTTATATTTAGCCTAATATAAGGGAAATAGACACGCATTCATGCGTGAAAAAAAAATCTTTAACTTTTAGGAGGCAAAATATATTTTTTGTAATTCTGTGAATTACACTGCGCAAATTAAAGGAGGAAGGGCTCTCCACAAAACACAAAATATTATTTTTCATTTTCTCATTTATGAGGAAAAAACAATGTTACAGACATGCGGCACTTAAAGACTGCATAAAAACTTTCACAGACCTCAAACAGAAAAGCACAAAGCCTTTCTTTAAAGTGAAATTCGTTTTATATTTAAATTTTATCTTGATTTTAATCAATGTTTCATCAACCAATTGCCTGGATTTAATACATAAGAAGGATATTTGCAGACACTTATAGATAATCACACGAAAGTGCCGGCGCGTGAACTGGAGCAGTCTCATTAATATACCGAAACTCAGCGTACAAGTATAGCCTAGTCCACAGATCTGAAACATATATCTATATTGACAATTCAAAACAAAAGAAAACAGACTGCTCTCTGCTTATGAAATTAACTGTGCATTTCTCTCTGGCGCATTCACTAGCCTACTGCGAAGATCGCGAGTCAGCATTGTCAACTTCATCTTCATTAATAAACAATTAAAATGTCTCCTTGCTATATTTGACACATTCATAATCATCGCTTTTGCTGGTTCTTTATGAAAGCTTTTATTTATCGGCAGCGCCGCCACTTAGGCTTAGGCTACATATTACAAGCGTCACCACCACATCAAAAACATGATTGCGTGATAAAAACATGAAAAATACCACCTAAACATAGCCTAACTGTTTAGATAGAAAACACAGAACGAATAGCCATCTTCACCCATTAGCCGCTTTTCCACTGGCCAGCGCGAGCACCGAGGCCGAAATCATGCCTCACCGCACTCCTGTAAAACTAAATCGCTATACAAATATATCAGATGCTGCCATTTAGTCTTTATTTACAAACTTGGACACCACACGCGGCTATTGACGGATAGGTAACTTAGCCTACTTACATTTTTCATTCGTTAATGTCTCGCAGCTTGCTGTTTTTTGTTTGTTTTACAATTAAAACTAAAAGTATGTTGTAACGCAAGCAGAGAGGATTTTTTCAAAGGCGGGTTTCATTGCCAAAGAATCAAGGAGCGCCCTTTTCCCGACCAACGAGAACAAGCTGGTTTTCCTTGCTTGTTCAGAAAAATCGGACAACCACAGGTGCAGTAGGACACTTTTCATATGTGAAGAAGTGATTTTTTTCTTTTTCTTTTGGGACAATGTGAACTTAAGCTGAAGGCGAAGCGTCTCAGCAATGAATACATCCTTTCTCTTTTCTTTTTTTTTTTTTGCTGCATGTGCGTTTTCTGAAGCCCATTCTATTATGACTTATATTAGGCCTATGTTTATTTTTGTTGTTGTGTAATTGTTTTTATTTATTCAGGCAGGCTTATTGTATTTTGAAAAATATTCATGACATTTTGGACTAGTGCCAGCCTGTAATTTATCCCAATTCCCAAGTTTTAACTGTGAAAAGCCAAGAAATAGTGAGAAACGTGAGAGATAAAGGTGTGTTTTGGCATGTTGTTGTTTTTGAAGCCAATTTGTTCCTATTTTATGTTAACTTTTCTGATGTTTGATAGTTTTGTTCATCTGGCTTTAAATGAATAAAAGGTATTCGTTACACACCATGTTTTTCGTTTTTTTAGCTCTTTTGTTTGAAATGGAAAAAAATCTAGCAGCTATATAAAAAAAAAAAAAAAAAAAAAACAAAAAAAAAAAAAACTATCAGTCGACTATGGCAAAATCTAACGAGTCAGATTCGACTACGAAAATCCTTAGTCGAAAACAGCCCTAGAGATTATATATTAGGGCTATCAACATTAATTGGGATGTGCGCTCACACACACCAAATGTTGGGGTTGGGTTTTTTTTTGTCTTATTTTCAATAAAAAAAGATAACATAATGAAATAAATATTTTATATTCACCCACTATGGCCTACGTGGTCTGTTTTTATTTTTTCTATTATATTTTTGTTACCTTGAACAACTATATTTTTAAAATAGGGAAATTATCTTGGCTGCACAGCTCAGTCACTTACAAAATAGAAAAACAGAAAAATTGCAATTTTTTTGACAGAAGTAAGTCAAGTCAAGTCACATTTATTTATATAGTGCTTTTCACAATACAGATTGTATCAAAGCAGCTTCACACTGATAACATGAAAGTAGCACAACACAGATCAACAACATTGCTAAACACTAAATAATCCCAACTGAGCAAGCTCAAAGCAAGCCAAAAGCAAGGCGACAGTGGCAAGGAACCAAACTCCATCAGATTGGATGGAGAAAAAACCTTGGGAGAACCCAGGCTCAGTCGGGGGCCAGTTCTCCTCTGGCTTACATTCATATTGTTTAAATATAAATATTAAATATAAATATTGTTTATGAATCAAACGGCGCCATAACATTTCGCAGGCGTTGAGTCGTCTCTTCACAGGCGTTGAGTCGTCTCATCACAGGCGTTGGGGCATCCGAAATCCCCGTGAGAGGCGGGACACAAAACTGGACCTGACGAACGCCCGACGAACGCAAGTACACGAGACAAAATGCATCGAAGTGAGGAGTTCGCCGGAATTAAGGATTCGGCCCCTTCTACGACAGACTGAATGAAATTTTGTCTGAATGATGTTGTTGACGGTGGAATTGTGGACATGCAAA